CACCTCCTGGGTGAGCCTGTGGAGAACTCTCCCAAGCTGCTTCATGTCAGCCCCTCCACTCTCCATGGTGTGTCCGCTCCCAGGGGTGGGGAAAAAGGACAGAGCAGGCCCTGACCCACCAAGTCTGAAGGCAGGCATTCTAGGGACAAGGGACTGTAGGACAGGAGAGAAGTTTCCTGGTTCTCCTAAACCTGATGGGACATTCTCAAACTACAGGCCTGATGTTGGAAGGCAGGGGCTTTGGAAGCCATTCACTTTTGCTAAAGCACGATCTTCAAATGTGAAAAGTATGATACTCATATAAATTGTTACTGAACATGTGTTGTAGTTTTCTGTAACTTATTGATAAGGGAACCAGTGGAGTGACAAAGCTGGTTCAGAAAAGACTAAGCAAAATTTACACATAAATATGAAGAGGAGTAGAGGGGAGGGAGAGAGGAAAGGAGACACAAGAGAGTACATTAAAAATGCTGGAATAAGATTGCCAAGTTAGAGCCAGCTGTGGTGGCTCATGATTGTAATCCTAGCACTCAGGAGGCTGAGGCAGGTGGATCGTGAGTCTAAGCCAATCTGGGCTATATAGTGAGACCCTGTCCAAAAAAGAAAAAAAGACTGCCAAGTTACATATGAAGCTAGGTAATGTCCACAAGACAAAAATAGCTGTAACCTTTAGGGGTAGCTTCTCTACTGAACAAAAATTATTTATTTCTAACAAATATTATTTGCATCTTATCAGCTTTCTGCACATTAGCCCCTAGAGCAGTGATTGTGAACCTTTTAGAAACAAGGGCCCAAACGGCAACCCAAAACCCAGTTATTTATCACAAAGTGCCAAGCACTACAATTAAACCTGAATGCTGATGTTTTAGTTTTGAAAAAAACAACTCATACATTACCATTTTTTGTCATAAAAGAAAAACAAATAACACACGCGCCAACCGCCCTAGAGAATCAGATGCTCTTGTAGGTAGTGTTGTTAGCATAACACTCTACAGCAGTGTTGTCTAATATAAATATAATACAAGCCACACATGGAAGATTAAATTTTCTAATTGTCATATTTTAAAATATAAGAAGAAACAGTAAGACAATCTATCTAAAATATTGCTTCAATGTGTAATCAATACAAAAATTACTTATGAGTTATCTCATATACTTTTTTCTAACTAAGTCTTTGAAAATCCAATGTGCATTTCATACTTACAGCACATCTCAAATTGGGATAGCCACATTTCAAGGGTTCAGTGCCACATGGGGCTAGTGGCTAAGGACTGGATAGCTCAGTTCTAGAGCAGGGCTCTCAGGCTTAAGGCCACATGAGAATCACCTGGAGGAATTATGAGAACACAGATGTGTGGGCCACACCTCAGCAGTTTGAATTCATCAGGTCTAACGTGGACCTGAGGATCTGCATTTCTAGCAAGCTCCAGGATTATGCTGCTGCTGCTCTTGGCCCCATACTTTGAAAACCACTCTTCCAGATAACTTTGAAAAGATGCACAGTGGTCTTTCTGCCTGATTTCCAAGTTGTGGGTAATTTTCTTTGCACCTTTCTATCTGACAGGCGGCAGTAGCAGCAGGCTGTCTGGAGGGTATTTGCATTGGCTCAGCCTCTGATGGGAGCAGTCTTGTGGACCCCCAGCTAGTGGTGGGTGTGAGTGCAGCAGACTCATTGATGCCCTTGCCTGTGTGCTGGCTGTGCCATGGGGTGGGGGGGAGGAAAAGGATTGACTCTCAACACCCCCTTGGTGGGCCCAGGCCCTATGCTGGCTGCTTCTTACTCATCTCTCTGCAGGTCATGCCAAGAAGGCTCAGAAACTGCAGTGCCAGGCCAGGTGTTTAGCTCGATGGCACCATGCCTGCCTCGCAAGCGCAAGGTCATGAGTTCGATCCCCGATACCAAAAAAAACAAAAACAAAACTGCAGTGCCCACAGGGATGAACTCCTTGCAGAGTCCCAGCACTCTCAGGGAGGGGTGCCCTCTGAAGCCTAGAATGGCCAGAAAAGGCTGGTCAGACAAGATGTGAGAACTGGTTTAGACCAGAGGACAAACAGAACCTGTACTGGATAAGAAAAACATGGGCAACCTGCTAAGTACAGGCTGTGGAAGGCCCAAGGAAGGGTCTGGACCCTAGAGGAGACTGCAGCCTTGAGGGACTGGGAAGAAAGAATACACCAGAGGCAGGGATGGAAGGCAGACAGCCATCAGTTGCTTCTCTCCTGGTCATGGATGCAGAAGGACTCATGCTAGGTCATACAGAGAGCCAGTCCCAATCCCATCCCAAGGGCCATTCATCTTGATTCTATAGGAGTGAGGTTGGGTACAGTGGGGAGGTATGGATGTAAAGGAAGGGCATACCATCTTTTGGGGCACCTTATGCTCATGGCAGTACTAATGACATCCAAGGTTTAGCGACATTAATCCCCTCAGGACAAGATTGTGTCCCACCCCAGTGTGTTTCCCTTCTTCCAGCACCTGATAACAGATGAAGCATCTTGAATACTGAATTTAAATGAACTGGCCTGCATTGTGTGTGTACTTAGTCACATAGTGTACTCTATGTTATATATGAGTGTGTCTTAGTCACTTTCCTGTCACTGGGACACAATACCTGATACTTACAACTTAAAGGATGAGAGGTGTATTTTGGCTTACATTTCAGTCCAAAGAAAAAACTGGCTGGCAGAGAGGTTTGGTGGAGGAAAAAGCTGCTTACCTCATGGCAGTCAGGAAGCAGAGAGCAAAAAAGTCAGCTGGAGAGGGAGCTATGCCATTTCAGGTCATGCCCCCAGTGACCCCTCTCTTCAGACCAGGCCCTGCCTTCTAAGTAAGAGCAAGTCAGCTGTAGCACCCCATAACCCAGTCACCTTTCAAAAGCCCCACCTATGGGCACATGAGGCTTTCAGAGGACATCAGTATATAAACCCAAACAGTATATTATAGACATGTGGTGATACTGTGATTATAGGGGTATCTGCACCTTGGGGTATCTTAAAGTGTATAGGAGGTGATTATTATGGCATATAATGTGAGATAGATTGAGTACCTACGCTGCAGATATATTACAAGTATCGGGGACCTTGGAGTTGTCTGTACCTTGGGGTGACCTATAGGGGTATACATGGTGTCTATATTCTGGTGACTACTGTTTGGAGCCATATAAACTATCTGCACTACAGGCCAACCTGTAGGGGTGAATGGAGTGTCTGTACTGGATGTGCAGTTTGGAATCCTATGAGGTTTCTGCATCCCAAGATGCTCTGTAGGTGTACACAGTCTACAATATGTGAAGCTATTTTCTGGGGGATCTTCACATGTGTGCTGATGTGATTTCTCTGTGGAAAGGTAAATAAAGGAGCTTCCAAGGAGTGCTCATTGCAGGGGGATCTGATGGGTGCTGTGGACAGAGGCAGAGCCCTGGGGAGCATCTCCAAGAAAGTGTCTCCCACCAGCTCCCCATGACAGGCTGCCCCCTGTAGACACCTCTGTTCCAGGGCAGGTGCCCACTCTTCCCAACACTTTGGGGACTTCTTTTTTAGAATCTAGATTTTCACAACAAATCTTCATTTGAACATGAATTTTATATTTTCAGACTTTGGAGACAGCTCTGGTGAATAAATAGATGTCATGTTTGAGTATATGAATAGTACATAGGTAACTACTGTATATAGTAGTTAAGAGTCTCATCTTATCTACTGTTTAGTCTGGTACATATTGTGGTAAAAATACCTTCCAAGTGAGTGGGAATAAATTGAGGAAGCTGACCAGAGAAGATCACACAGTGGCCCAGGAGGCTGTCCCAAATGCCAGGACCCACCATAGACTTTAGCCCAGCATTCTGCAGTTGTAAAGGGTACTCCCCACAAAACTCACAGAGTCCCATGGGTGCTAAGGCAGACACTGATAGTATTCTGAATTTACTAAGTGTACAAGGGCCAAAGTATTGTCCACAGCTACCTTACTGGTGAGTGGCAGGCCAAAACTCCACTCTCCCCACCCACTGCCTGGAAGAACAAAAGGACCAAGTGTTCATGTGTTTGTACAAAAAGAAGCTTCCTCACTGCATATCCTACACTTTTTGCTAATTACTGTATGTGAAAAGGAAGATAATCACTGTATATCTGTATCTGCAGGCACCATGAGTATATGGTAGGTATGTGCTCTGTGCGATTAGATCTTGCTATGTGTATAATGGATATAGAATGTGTGGAAGGTGGATCTGATGGGGGGAGTTCTGCTGTGTGGGATAGCACTACAGTGTCTGTAATGATGTATTTGGGGTTATACACAATATAAAATGGTGTATCAATGTATATACTCTGTAGGATGGGCATAGAACATATGGCAGATGGTAGACTCATGTATAGTTACTATACCATACGTGTGAGATGATTATAGGCTGTGTGTGGAATATACACTGAATATACTTGTGTGAGTGCTATATTTTGTGAGTTATGTTTGTGATTAGTATACATTGCATGGGTGATGGGTCTACTCTAAGGAGGAAATACGATGTGTGACTGATGCACTGTATTCATTGGCTCATATAATGACAGATATAGACAATGTGTGATAAGTTTACACTGAGTGTGAATACATGCTACATGTGAAATATACATTATATGTGCGATAGGTATATAGCATGTTGGGTATAATTTATGAATAATAGGTGCATATACTTAGTATATATAATAGATATACTCCTAATGATGAATGTATGTTATGTGGGTGCAATAAGCACTTTGTGGACAAATAAGCACTGTGGTCTATACAAGGTGAGCACCATGGATACTCTGTAGTGAGGTAGTCCTTGTGATGGGTCTGTTTAATGTGTATCAGGCACCCTGTGTATACACAGCTCATGATGGGAATATGGGGTATGTACCTGTGTGTGAGCACACAGAGAGGAGTCACTGATGGGGGGGCATAGGAGGAAACAGTTGATCTTCATGTTTCCAGAACTCCCTGACCCTTGAGCCCACCAACTGCACTGTTTCAGGTTCTTCCTCAAATTCTTCCTCAAATGCAACCAGAACTGCCTAAAGAATGCAGGGAATCCCCGAGATATGCGCCGCTTCCAGGTGGGTTTAGGGAGAGGCTCCCTCACAAACTCAGCCTTCTCTGACAGGGGGAGGAGGGGGAGGCTGAGCCCCTGCCAGGGCACAACCCTGCCCAGCTCTGTGCCTCTGAGGCCTGGTGCCCGCTGGGGGTGGGGCAGCTCCATCTCAACTTATGCTGGCTGCTAAGGGAGGCTTCATTAGAGCCCCACTTAAGAAGATGCTAATTGTGACATTTTTACATGATTAACGACCCAGGTAATTTGCATAGTGTGAAGCAGCAGCTGCCCTTAGCACATCGAAGCCAGCACATCCCTCCCAATGTAAGGGATAGTGGGAGAAGGCAGCCCCAATTTCTTCCCCCAAACAGGGTGGGGCTCCGGCTAATGGGTTCTCCAGCTGATGCCGCCCCCGCCCCCCCCACACACCTTGTCCAAAACTGAGTTTCTGCCTTGAAGCCCTGTGGGTACAGCCTGGTGTTCCCGTGTGTGCACCAGTAGTGGCCACTCTACCCAAGGAGCCAGTTTTTTCCAGGGCTTTTAATTTTCTAGCTCCTGGAATGTTAGTCCATCTGGGGGTGTCACATGAATCCAGCTGGCCCCAGTTCTGCCAGCTGAAGCCCCCTAACTCCCACCAACTCTGAATCCCAGCATCCTGCCACCTCCCTCGAGTTGGTAGTTCTCTACCATTGTCCCCTCCCCCCAGCCGCCGCGGCTCCAGCCAGACCAGCCTTAGCTTTCCCCACAGGTGGTAGTATCCACGACGGTGAGCGTGGATGGACACGTGCTGGCTGTGTCCGACAACATGTTCGTGCACAACAATTCCAAGCATGGCCGCAGGGCCCGCCGCCTGGACCCTTCCGAAGGTCAGAACCCCCAGCCCAGCCCTGGCCATCCTCCAGTCCCCACCTTGTCGGGGTCCCCTGACCTGGGTCCTCTCCTACCTCCCAGCTGCCACCCCCTGCATCAAGGCCATCAGCCCGGGGGAAGGCTGGACCACGGGAGGCGCCACCGTCATTGTCATCGGCGAGAACTTCTTCGACGGGTTGCAGGTCGTGTTTGGAAACATGCTCGTGTGGAGCGAGGTGGGCCACCCCCGCCGGTCTCCCTCTGGGCCTGGGACTGGGCCCTCCCCAAGGGACGGGACCTGCAGGCCTCCCTTCTCCCCTCGCAGCTCATCACGCCCCACGCCATCCGGGTGCAGACACCCCCCCGACACATCCCCGGGGTGGTGGAGGTGACTCTCTCCTACAAGTCCAAGCAGTTTTGCAAGGGAGCCCCCGGCCGCTTTGTCTACACAGGTAAGGAGTCAGGCTGCAGAGGGGAGGCTCCATGGGGTCAGCAGGGGGAGCCCTGGACCCGCCGAACCCTAACGTGGTCTGAACAGATCAAAATCTGTGGTTGGCCATGCCCCCGGGTGGCGGGGCCTCGCAGGCATGCAGGCGTGGTCTATGCCGGATCCTGGCGCTGGTACTTCCTTCCCTGGCCTTCTCTGTTTTCCTCCCTGGCCCTTGGCTCCTGAGACCCTACTCCAATATTCTCTCTGCCTTGGGCCTTTTCACCAGGGCGTCTCTCCCCTCTCTATTTCCAGACTTTTAGAACCTCACCAAGGGATTATTTACATTAAAGATGCCTCCAAATGGGCTCGTTGCTCCGCAAATCTTTCCTGGGTCTCTTGGCTCCCCAGGCAACCCTAGGCTTCACTCTGCGTGCGCATGCATGCACATAAACATAAACACCCTTCTCGACACCAGGGCGAGCAGTTAACGCAAGACATGTGAAGAGTAGCACAAGACACTGGCTGATTTAGCCAGTGGTGGCCGGGATCTTCACCTCCATCCACGCTCTGGGCCCCACTGAAGACACGGGCTTCCCCCTGTCAATCGCTCTCCTCCCACCCACTGAAATACTCACGGAGGGTACCCGACACCTACCCAGCTGATGATTAGGAACCTCAGGTTTAACACGGGAAGGCTACGGGGTGGGTGAAGTTACAGCGTCTAAGGGCTTGACCCGCTGCAAAATCCCTGCGGATGAGTGGGCTGAACTGGGCTGAGCTGAAACTTGGCTGGAGGATGGGATGGGGATGTGGATACCCGGAAGGAAGGGCTGTCGCGGGAGAAGGAATGGCCAGTGCAAAGACTCAGCAGTGAGCGCTTTACGCTTTGGGGGTAACAAAGGGAAACACTAAATGTGAAGTTGGAAGTGGAGAAGGTAGGACTTTGAGATTGGTCGGTTAGGACGTACCAGGCTACCCAAAGAGGTAGAAAAGGGGTTTGGACAGGAAGGAGAGGGGAGATGAGAGAGAAGGGGAAGGCATAGGGAACATGGCTGGAGGATGCTGCAATCCTGAGAACCCAGGGCGTGGGCCAGTCTCCTTCCTAGGATACATACAAACCCCCTACCTGTCAGATGCTGTTCAGAGTCTGCTGGAGCCATGATAAGTGGAAATTGTTAGTTTTTTATTTTTCTCTTTTATAAACTGCTAATATGACCAAATGTAAACAGAAAACTCACAAGTCCTGCCCCTAGGAATATACAACCCCTCACCTTGCACAAGTAGAATTGTATAGCGCTTGTGTGTTGATGCCAAGTGCCTGACACGGAGCCTGGCTCAGTAGATACTTATTGAATGAATGAATGAACAACAACAAAAAGGAATTGAAGAAACTTTCCTGAACCTCGCTGATCAGTGTGCCTGGGGTTTTCCGTGAGACTTGAGTTTGACTTGGAGCTAGGTGTCTGCAGCGGAGCTGCTAGACTGGTTGATTGTGTATTTTTTGCGCTCTGCGTCCTGCTCTGGGAGGGGCGATCTTCAAACACTGCCCCTCTCCCCAGCTCTGAATGAGCCCACCATTGACTATGGCTTCCAGAGGCTACAGAAGGTCATTCCCAGGCACCCTGGGGACCCTGAGAGGCTTCCCAAGGTACTCGAAGGGGCGGGATGGGGATGCGGGTGTCCCGTGCGTGGCGGGGGGGGGTGAGGAGGGCCTCGCGAGGGTCCCCCTGCCACCCCCAGGGGCTGCCCCTCCGTCCCGCTGTCTCCTCCCCTGCCCTCAGGAAGTGCTGCTGAAGCGGGCGGCCGACTTGGCGGAGGCCCTGTACGGAATGCCTAGCAGTAACCAGGTATGGCGCCTCCGCCCGCCTCGCACCGCTCCTGCCCGGGGCTGCCCCCAGCAGGTGCGTGCGGCTGCCCGGGCCATGCCCTGCTCTTGTCTTCGCAGGAGCTCCTCCTGAAGCGCGCGGCGGATGTGGCCGAGGCTCTGTACAGCGCCCCCCGAGCACCCGCACCGCTCGGACCCCTGGCCCCCAGCCACGCGCATCCTGCAGTGGTGGGCATTAACGCCTTCAGCAGCCCGCTCGCCATCGCCGTCGGGGACGCCACACAGGGGCCTGAGCCGGGTGCGTCCCGCCGCTGCTCCCCGCAGTCCCTGGACCCCAGGATGGCCCCTTCCCTGCCACCACGGACCGCCTGACCGCCGCTCTCTCGCAGGCTACGCGCGCAGCTGCAGCAGCGCGTCCCCACGCGGATTCGCACCCAGCCCCGGCTCGCAGCAGAGCAGCTATGGCAGCGGCCTGGGAAGCGGCCTTGGCAGCTACGCGCCTGGGGTGGCCGGGCTTGGGGTGCCCGGGTCCCCTAGCTTCCTCAACGGCTCTACGGCCACCTCACCTTTCGCCAGTGAGTGTCCCCACCCACGCGGAAGGTAGGGGTGAGAAAACAGAAGGGGGCCCGGGGTGTGGGCTTCCAGCGTTTGCTTGGGTCGACTCTGGCTTTTGGTCCGGAGCAAGCACAGTGCTCCCTGCACTTGACCACTCCCTGCTGTTGCACTCCTCGGGGAGTCTCGCGGTCCTGGGGCCAAGGAGGGGACTTCTTGCTGACTCCAATGCTACACATCGCTTCTCCCCTTCCCGTCCTCCCGAAGCCGGCTTTAAATAGGAGGACCTGGTTGAAACCTAGTGGCCCGCCGCCTTTCAGCCTTACACCGGGTCTTCAGGAGGAGGCTGGCGCCCCCTGCCGGAACCCTAGGGAAACTCAGGAATTTGAGAAGCGGACTTCCAGTTTACGCCACGCCCCCCAAAGGTCTGAGCCGGTGGTCCTTGGGAGGATGCGGCTCCCCTGAAGGATCATCAGGCAGAGCGACCAACCAAATTCTGTGTGGTCAAAGCTGGATTTGGGCGTCGAAATCAGAAGCTGCCCAACACGCAGCAAGTTACTGTACTTCTTTGAACTTCAGTTTCTTAGTGAATGTGTACCACCCCCTGCCTAGAGAGGTTGTCAGATCTGAATGTCCCACCGTGCAGAAAGAACCAGACAAAATTCAGGAAGATGGTATGATTTCACAGGTCCAGCCCCGATTGTAGGTGCTAAGCAACCTCACTCTGGCTTCTTGGAGTGAGGCAGCTCAGAGCTGGGTGGGTGAGCAAGGTCTGGATGTCATGAGTGAGTGACATCCACAGCTACTTTGATGCTTTACTATTTTACACTGCCTTGCAGTTTCTTCCAATACCAGTTGCTACTCAGCAGACATTTATAATGCACCTGTTGTGTGTGAAGCGCTGGGTTTGGGGCATAATTACACTCTTGCTCATCTGCAAGAACCCTCCCTATCAGTCGTAAGAGAAGCTGTCCCTCTAGTCCCAGGAGACTCCTGAGACAGAGAAATGGGAACCTGCCTGAGAAAGAACTGCCAACAAAGCATCTTGCACGTAGAGAGTGAATGGAGACCTAGGTAAGCACTGATCAAGACAGTATTTATTATGAGATGGGAATGGACCTAAGGCATGTCCAGGTATTGCCAGCTAATGCTGGAAGCAGAACTTAAGAGGCACTGCTTTGCCTGCATTTCCCTCACATCTCCTCTGCCCTCTGATTGCCATTGCTGAGAATAGAACTGTCTAGCCACCTACCTAGTGGTCCTCAATGGGGGCCAGTGTCTTGGGTGCTGTTTTTTCTGGCTAAGGGTTCAAGCCCAGCACTCTTCTGATTTAGATTCAAATTCTGGAGCCCAAGGCCCCATAATCCAGAGACCACACAGCCATGGCCCACTGGTATCCTTCACAACTTCTCAGATTTCCCTTGGATTTAAATCTTTCCCTGGAACTTCTTTCCTTTCCAACGTATACACAGTGCAGTCAACAGTAAGAATACATGGCCCAAGGGTACAGAAGCCAGTCACCTGGGATCTCCCCATTCAGTAGGAAGGTAAGAATTCCAGTGCCTCTTAAGTCCTGCTTCCAGCATCAGCTGGGGATACCTGGACGTGCCCGAGGGCCATTCCCATCTCATAATAAATACTGTCTTGATCAGTGCTTACCTAGGTTCCCATCCACTCTCATTGTGCAAGAAGCTTTGTTGACATGACTGCATGGGATGTCATTCTCATTGAGTTTCCAGGACATTCCTGAAGTGGCATCAGAACTGTCCCAGCCAGAGGGTCTAGGACTGTCTGTATGGTTCTCCCTTTTGTCTTCTGCATCAGCTACCCGCAACCCTGGAATGAACCACAACTCCCAGCACTCTCCAAGCTACAAAATGTGCCTGTTCACTCTGAGCCTGGAGAGATAGGATACATTTTCCAGCATTGATCTCAAGCTTTCCTTTGGGCTTCATGGCCCCACTAGCAATGAGAATTATCTTAAAGGAGATGGCAACCATGAGGAGAGGACATTTGGAAGAGGACAGCTGTTGAAGGCTCAGATCAAGGTCATGATAGGGTACTCTGATGCCAAAGGCAACCTTCTCTAGATACAGGATTCTTCCAGGAAGCCCCATCCACTGACTGTTGCCTACTCTTAGACAACACTCAAACTACAGCCTTATTGCTTTTTAGAAGAGAAAGGCTGGGAACTGGGTTCAGATGAGGATATAGAGAGCTGGGATCCAGAGGTTCCCTAGCAGAAGCCCCAGGAGCAGAGGCTCAGGAAGGACAGACAAAGCCCATGTACAGGGATCTCCCTTGCTGTTCCTAGGAGAGCATACCACAGCCCTGAGTGGCTATGAAGGTGGAGAACAGGAAGCATGGAGGATGTAGATCCCTCACTTTTCTGTAAAATTAACTAGCTGTAAGAGGGAGATATTGGAGGGCTCCAGGGTCCAGACTGGAATTGCAGGAAGTATCCAGAGAAGAGGAATAGAGAGACAGAGTGTGGGTGATATTAGAAAGAAGAGCTTATTTGTGGAGGGAGTTAAGATGATTGTGTGAACTATAATCCTGAGCAGAGAGGCTTTATAATGGGAATTTGTACATATCCCAGGTTTCATCTCTTGACTACTTGCCCCAGCTCTGTTGTGACCCCCAAACTTTGACTCTAGCCTTGGCACCCCATAAATGTTTCTTGCCATCTTGAATCTAGTGGTTTTCACAAAGAATACTAACCTGTTCATCTGTAACCTTTAGGGCTCTCCCTCCTGCTTGGTTTTGTTGAGTATTCAGGTTTTGCTTGTATTTTGACCCAGTTGGCCCTGTTATCTCCACTTTTAAGAAAGGGTATCCAGAACTCCCAAGAAAGCAAGAGCTGGTCCAGGACCCCACAGGCTCCCAGCCCACCTCCTGACCCTGTTCTGTGCTAGCCTCCTCAGGACCCTTACAGCCCCAGGGAGGCCTGAGCCTGGTGCCTGCTCAGCAGCTCATGTGGGACGGGACCCACTGCCCATGTGGGATGTGGGACCCCAACCCTGCTGCTCACTCTGGTACTGTCTCCCTGTTGTGTCTCCCACTGCCTTCCCTGCTTCACCTGCCCCTCCCTGCCCCGCCCCGGAGTCATGCCCTCTAGCCCCCCACTGGCGGCTGCCTCCTCCATGTCCCTCCCGGCTGCTGCCCCCACCACTAGCGTCTTCTCCTTCTCGCCTGTCAACATGATCTCTGCTGTGAAACAGAGGAGCGCCTTTGCCCCTGTGCTACGTCCACCAAGCTCCCCACCCTCGGCCTGCCCCAGAGCCCATGGAGAGGGGCTTCCAGGTGAGTGGGCCATGCTAGCTCACCATGGCCTGGGGGAAGGGCCCTGGCAGAGAAGCTGGGATTCAGGGGATCATTTCATCCACATCACACCAACACCTCAGGCTGGCTGACCAGCTTGCCCTGAAGGGTGCCCAGTAGGAAGCTCTGCAGGGCCTGAAGGGAACCATCTAGGCTCCACTTCCCTTAGCCTCGCAGCTGGGAGTGGGCAGCAATCTGGACACTTTCAGCTGGCCACTTGGTAAGGAGAAGGAGTCTGAAAATCCAGTTGGAAAAGATCTGGAAACCACTCACCCTCATGCAGTCATGCAGAGACCCAGCTCCGGCTGGAAGAAGCCACATGGGCTGTGTGCCTTTTTCCTGTGCCCCCTTGTGTCCACCAGAGGGTAGCACACACTGCTGTGAGACAGGCTCACTTAGGGAATGAAAGGGAATTGACCTCAGATAAAGTTTAGCCTAGTTCCCTCTCCCCTGTTTTACAGACTAGGAATTGAGACCAACCCATTCCTCCATGTCCCATTGATGAATGACATGGTTGTCCTTGCACACCCATGCAACAGATCTTTTAACCAGCAGAACTTGCCCATCCAAGTGGCCCTTGGAAACTTACTAGCAGACAGAGGGAGAGACTGATTTGGGGGAAGGAGATGGAGGCAGCCAAATGTCCCAGTTGGCAGGGATGGTTGGGGACACAGCTGAGTGACGATGTCTTCCCTAAGAGGCTTGCAGATGTTTCTCTGCTGGCTGTGAGGCTGTCTGTAGGGGATCTCCTAGGACTCAGTCCAGAGCTTAGCACATAACTCAGTACTTGACACATAGTATTTGCTAAGTAATTAGGGGTTTAATTAATAAATTAATCAGAAAAGCCCCCTTCAACCCCAGAGGCAGAGGGCTGCAGTGCAGTTTGCTGGGGTAGAGCATGTCCTATCATACATTCCCCAGGCAGCAATGGGTACTAGGAAAGAACGAGCATTCAAATAGGTAAATGGCTAGGTTACTAAGATTTTTATTCAGAGCCTTTGTGGCTCTTTTAGGAAAGAGGAATTACAAGTTTATTTGAACACAAATGTATTTTTCAAAGAGCATCTTGAAAGTAGTTCCTGAAGGCTGAGGAAGAGACAGCCCCATTGTTTCTTCAGACTGAAGTGAGCCGCTCAGACTGGGATCTAGTCACGGGGCTAAGCCAGTGCCTTGGGCCCTAGAGCCACCTCTGGATCCAAGGCAGGGCCAGATGGGGCAGCTCCCACAGCAAGGCTAGGGAGGGGTAGTGGACAGTGCCCTTTTGGGCCTCTATGCCCCAAGGTCCCTGTAGGAGAGAGTTCAGGGACACTGTCTGCCACCCCTCATCTTTCTATTGCAGTAGTGGCCTCAGGCTGGGGCTGGGGGTGGCTGAAAGCCTTTAGGAACTACTATGTGCCCAGCCTGTTGTCTCCAGCCCAGAGAAAGACAGGAAAATAAGGTCATGAGGCTACACAGCTGATGGTTCCTTTCTGCTTGTTCCCAGATCAGCCTTTTGAGGATTCTGACAAGTTCCATTCTCCAGCCCGGGGGCTTCAAGGCCTGGCATACTCCTAATTACGGTAGGTCTCTGTCTGGTTCTTGCCTCGTACCCTGGCCCTAGAATGGGTTCTTTTCTCCAAAAGGCCTTGGCAGGAGTGCGAAGCTGCGGTCCAGTTTTCTCTCCCTGGGGCCCATCTAAACAACAGTCAGAGGCACATAGCCAGTCCCAGTGGCCTAAGCTAAATGGTGGAGAGAAGTGACTTTCTGTCCTCTTGCAAGCAGCCTTCCTCCAGGACCTTTTCTCTCCCCTCTCTCCACCAGGTCTGCAAGTGTTGCCCCCACTGAGCTCAGACTGGAAGATCCTCCAGGATTCACACCCATTCCCTGGATGATGGCACAAAGAGGGCCAGTGCTGTGGGCAGACTTCAACCCCTGGACCAAATGGGAGAGGAGTACCCCTGTGCTCAAGGTCCCCTCTGTCTCACAGGCTTCTCTCACCTCTCTCTCGGGGCTGGCCAGAAGCCCCACCACTGTACTGATGCTCTTGTCAGAAGAGCGTCCCAGGGAGGTACTGGGAGGTCAGGCCTCCCTCACTGGGCTGGTTCCTCTGGAAGAGATAGATTTTGTGCAGACCAGGAATGGGATGTGAGGGGAGCATGGGATAGGGACCATGGGAAAGAGGACAGCTCAGGGAGAGGTGACCTGGAAAGGTCCTGTTTGCACCCAACCCATCTCAACTGGCCCAGATCCCAACTTCTCTCCAGTGAAAAGGGTGGTGCCCAGCAGCCTCAGGAGGCCACCCAGGCTCCCATGGAGCTTCCGGTAGTCACTGGACCACATGGCTGCCCCCATTCCTTCAGGTCCTGCACACTCATGCTTGCCACATCATGCCTTCTTGGAGGGGCTTTGGCATGAAGGATGCAGAAGAAGGGGACCAGGACTCCTCGTTTTGGGGACTTCCTCCCAATGGATGTCTCATGAACTCTGGATCCCCACACACACTGACTCTGGTTGGCCCCATGAAATTGTGGCCTCACATTCTGCTCTGCTAAGTTTGGAGAAAACAGAACAATAAACCAGATGCAAGTGGCCACCTGGCCTCTCTTGCCTGCTCCCTTGGTGTGAGCCTGCTTTTCTCAGAGGCCCTGTAGCTCTCACAAGGCCCCTTTGAGCCATGCCCCTGGACAGCCTCCTTCACCTTGGGCATTTTAAACAGTCCCAGAGTTCAGCTGAGTTACTATTTCCTGCCCCATGTCTATTCTTTGATCCTGTGTGTTGGAGGGGAATAGACTAATAAGCCTGAGGACCCAAGAAATGGGTTCAGCTCCAAGAGCTCTACATGGGGACACAATGAGGCCACTGAGGACTCAGTCCCCTACATGCCCAGCCAGGACCAAGATTGGGATTGACAGAAAGATATTGGTGGGAACCAGGACAAAGCAAATCAAAAACTACCCAGATATCTGCCTCACAAGTGCAAGGTCCTGAGTTCAATCCCCAGTACTAAAAAGCAAAACCCCAAAAAACAAAAACTACTCAGATATACAGAAGTCCAGAAGTAAAATCTAGACTCAGGCTGGAAGCCTTTATCTGGACTTGGTGGGACAGCTTCTGGCTCCCAGGAACTTTCCCTCTGAGCCACACTCCAACTCTTCATCCTTCCTCCCGAAGCCCAGGCCCCTTCTGGCTCTCCTGCCTCAGAATTGGAGAGGAGGGCTGGGGATTTAGCTCAGTGGTTCCAGCACCTGCCTTGCAAGTGCAAGGTCCCAAGTTCAATCCCCAGTACCAAAAAAAAAAAAAAAAAAGAGGATTGAGAATTGGGGAGGATAGTAAAATAAAATTGCTAGGCCCATTCACCCACCCCCACCCTCAAAAGAATCTCAGTCACTCCTATTCTTCCTGTCACTGGACAAAGGTCTGGCTGTGTTTTGACCCACTATCCAGTGGGCTAAGTGTCCAGCCTGGGCCTCAGGCTCTCTTCTTTTTCCTTGGAACTTCTAGACTCTGGCCTCCAGAAACCCTGTCCCTCCCAACCAATGTGCCTATGCCTTGCACCTTTGGATAAACACACTTGCCAAGGCACGTGGGCTGGTCCTGTCCTTCCAGGGACTACTTCTTTCTCTGGTGTTCTTAGCCAGCACTTAGAGTTCATCTCATCTAGAATCCATGACAGAAAGTCATCCTGCCTCTGGTTGTCATGTCTTATTCTCAGCACTTGCCTGACCTCCTCGTCAGTTCTGGATGCACAACTTGTGTTCCATTTAGCTCTGAGAACTCCCCACTGCCAGGGGCCCTCCCAGGCTGAGCCCTTGCAGAACTCTAGTCTTCCCCGGACACAGCAGTAAATGAATGATGGTCACTGCCTGGTTCCTGGGATGTGACAAGTGTCATGATCACTATTAGACATGATATCTGTCCACAATGATCTCACAATGCTGTGTAAGCTACCATTTGAGTCAACACTGCCTTCTCTCTCATCCATACACACACAAAAACAATTCCAAGCAGATTGTAAATCCAAATGTGAAACCTAGGAGCTAGACTAGCAGCCTTTGGCCAGCCTGAACTCCAAGGTCTGTTTCCTCACCTGCAGGGCCAGTTTTGAAATAAAGCAAGCATTGGACATGTTTGATATGCTTCAGATGAACCCCAAGATCTCTATTCTGTAAGATAACTTTTCCAAATAGGAAAATTGTCAGAGTTTATAGTGTCCATCTCCCCAAGAAGAGATGGGGTCTTTACGGCTAGCAACTTTGAAGTCTTAACTCCTTAGCTTGGTGTGGCCACTTTCCCCCACCCCATCCTCACCTTTGCAGTTACATCATCAAGCTTCTTTCCTCTGCTACCATCTCAGTGGCAATAACAACAACTACATGGGCAATTCCCATGGAAAGGAATGAGTCACCTCCTTGGAGTTACCAACCTGAAGTCTAACCTTCACAAGAAGACCCTCAAAATGAGAGTCCTGATGAGTGTGTAGCGTTGGCTACATATGTGAACCTCAGATCCTTCTGTCACTTCTTCCATGCTCCTTTTTCTTTACTCTCAACATGGGCTTTTTTTTTTTTTTGCAAAAAAATGAATATAGTGTAAATTTTCAATTTTTTTCTGTGTGGTTGGTACTTCTTATATCCTTTTGAAAAATCTTTATTTGTTCCAAAGTCAAGAGGATATTTTAGAAATTTTCTTGTTTTGGTTTTTTGGGGGTTTTTGGGGGGGGCGGTTGGTACCGGGGATCAAACTTAGGACCTTGAGCTTGCAAGGCAGGCGGCGGAACCACTGAGCTAAATCCCCGGCCCCTGTTTTGGTTTTTATAGACTGATGATCTAACTAGAATTGGCTTTGGTGTATAGTGTGAGATAGGGATCAATTTTTTTTTCATATGGATACTCAAGGTCCTTCAGCAGTCACTGAAATGACCATCTTTTCTCCCACCTCAATCCAGTGGAAACTTTGTCATAAATCCAGTCCATACATGCAGGGGTCTATTCTGGATTCTCTATTCTGATCCATTGATTGTTTCATTTATCCTTATACCCATATCATTCTATCTTCTTGACTTTAGTTTTACACTAAACTTTGATGTCTAATAGAGCAAGTTGTCCAACTTAGTTCTTTATGATTACCTTAGCTACCCTGTGTCTTTTTTACATAGTAATTTTATTATCAGTCTGCTGTTTCTTCACTGGGATTGCATTAAATTTATAGATCAGTTAATGGAAAATCAGCAACTTTAAAATATTTCAATCTATTAATATCCATTTTAATATTTCTTTTAATAATATAGCCCTCTGAAATCTTTCATTTATCCCTAAGTATTTTATTATTTTAGGCTATTACAAATGTCATTTTCTTAATTTCTTTTTCTATTACAGATATATAGAAATATGACTGTGTAGGGGTGTATGTATGTGTATGCATGTGTGTGGTTGTGTGGTACTGATGATTGAACCCACAACCTTCACACGGAGCTACATCACAGTCCATTTTTTATTTTTTATTGAGACAAATTCTTACTAAATATATACATTGCCCAGCCTGGCTTCAATTTACAATCTTGTGTCAGCCTCCCAGAGCACTGAGATTACAGGCATGCACCATCACACCAGGCTTTAGCAAGTTTTTGGTTTTTTGAGACAGCATCTCAGTATGTAGTCCAGGCTGGCCTAGAACTCACTCCTGCCTCAGCCTCCCGAGTGCTAGGATTACAGGTGTGCACCACCACACCTGGCCTAACAATTGATTTTTATATGCTTGTACCTAGCAAACTTGCTTAGATCACTTACAGTAATACTTTATCCATAGATTGTCTTCAATTTTCTTAAGTACTTGATTATGTCATCTTCAAACAAGGACAGTTTTATTTCTTCTCTTGCAGCCTTTATTTCTTTCAATTTATTTTCTTTCCTAAATGCACTGGCTGGAATCTTCAGTACAGTGTCAAACAAAAGTAGTGATAATGAACACCTTCATTTTGTCTTGATCCTAGATGACAAACTTTTAGCATTTCACCATTAAGTATCATGTTTGGTCTATACCTATTCTTCTATTCCTAATTTTCTAAAAATTTCAAAAATATATGACCAGATACCAAATTTTATGAAATGCTTTTCTGCGTATATTGAGATAAACGACTTTCTCCATTATTTTATTAATGTGCTGAATTACATTAATTATATGTTTAATTTAAAATTATCACATTAGCTATGTGTTTAATGGTAAACTGCCATATATCCTTTGTCCAGGATATATTGATTATAACATGTAGCCCTGTTCTCTCACCCCTCCTTTTTCTCTCACTACTGTCATTCTTCTTGCAGAAGGCACATCATGGTCCTTCCCCTTCCCTACCTCTCAAAAAGTCATGCTTCTAGGAAACAAAATACAAAATACAGACCACCTCAGTACTTCTTACCATACTAGCTTCTGCTACCTCCTGGAAAAAATACAAGAACAAACATAAATTAATCTCTCACCAAGTCATTCTACCTCAGTCTAACCCATCTTTTGCCATCCTATTCTATTTATGATTCCAACCCACCTTGACTCCTCAGGTCTAGTCCCCTCTGTTGACATCCAGATGATCCCTCATGGGTGGTTTGTGGATCCACTCCACAAAGGTGAAGGAGTCCCAACCTCCTCCTTGCCTCAGCCTTGGTGGGGAACACAGTCAGCTCCCAGGGGTTTGGAGCTGCAGGGACTTCAGGGGACTTGGGGTGTTGGGGATTCTGAGGGCATGGATCTCCTCCACATGGAAGAGACTTCATGACTCTAAAGATGCAGAAGAGGTTTCCTGGCAAAGCAGTAACAGAAACAAGACATTCCTTTTTTACTTTTGTATTCCTTGAAAGAAGGAGCCAGGGTTTAGAAGAAGGAAAAATGCCATCAAGGAGTAGATTTGTTATTCCTTGGAGCCTAGCATCCTAGGATCTTGGTTCTCCAAAGCCTTTTCACCCCCACCCCTACTAGCCTGGGGATTAAAGCCACCCCTGAAGCACCCTTGGCTGGGGATGGTGGGAGCCTCAGGTTGCCCCAGCCCCCTCCACATGCACAGTTCCCACAGGCTTGTCTAGGGACCAGTGAAGAGCAGAAAAGCCCTCTGGTTGCCCCTGGGGCTTTTCTGGGGGCTCCACCCACATGGGAGTCTGGCCACCCCTATGCACCCACACACTCACCCAGAATCGTGTCCACCTTCAGGTGGATAGGGGAGGATCCATCTTCCTTCAGTCTGGCACTGACTCAAGTCCAGCCAACTTTGGCTTCTGTGGTGAAAGCTGGTTTTTCTGGGCCAGTACTCAGGCTCTTCTTGGAACTGGGCCTAGAGGTTCACCTTGCCAAGACAAACTGTGGCTGCCAGTGGAATGTGGTAGGGTGGTGGCTAAGCAGACCCAAATCTGGCAGGCTGTCTAAAGTGCCCCACTTGGTCCCGAGCACGGAGTCCAGCAGGTCTCTGGGGTCAGACCAGGCCAGGAAGGAGCAGGTTCCAAGAGTACCAGGCATCTCTCTGTCCCACAATTTTTGCACCAAAAAACAAAGCAAGCAAAAAGGAATTATGGAGGCTTTCCTTAAGATGGAGTGTGTAGTTTTCCTTAGTCCTTATTTCCTTATTCCCCT